CACACACACACACACACACACACACACACACACACACACACACACACACACACACACACACACACACACACACACAGTATGTAAGGAGCAGTGCAGGCGGGAATGCTGATATTAGGCAAAGCTCCAGATTCTATCTCTGACTCCCCTACAGCACGGCTATCAGGAGATAAAGAATATTAAGATGCATGTCAGGGTCCAACATGCAGTCCCAGTGAAATGCCATAGGACACTTTCTAAGGACATGTTAAAGGGTGCCAATGATCCCCAACATACTGTGCTTCAGTCTTTCTCTGAAGCTCAACACAAATGTGTCCATATGAGCTGTGAAAATGTCTGTTTTGGTGCATCAACTGCACAAAAATTGCCATCAAAWCAAATATTAAAGCAGCTGTCAGAGGCTCTTTAGTGTTACTGTGGTAACCACCTGTGCCTTTCCCCCCCCCGGACAGCACTTTTCATCAGGCAGACAGAAACACAGAGCAGAAAGGAAGCCTTAATCAAACAGTGACTGTTCTAAAATTAAAGTCATGCTAAATAAATTGCTGACCCATAAGCTGTCAGGAGTCATTATGTGTCCACACTGTTTTGTGTGATAAGTTAGAAACAACTTTAATTTCCAGCTTTGAATAGAACATTTAGAGATACAACAGATTGCAATGAGAGTTTGTAAGTATGGTAAAGCTGCTACAAAGTTCTGCAGAGAGAGACACGTTAGGTAATATTTATTAATCTTTGTATAACCAGGCACATCCTATAGAGATCACAGATTTCTTTCACACAGGGGGGTCTGATGGTTAACCTAACATGCGTGTAGACTCATGGAGGAAACAGTACCCAGAGATTACCCATGAAAGCACAAGGAGAGCAAACTCCACTCAGAAAGAGCCCTGGTGCAGCCTGGCGATCGATCCCAGAACCTTCTGTGAGACATCATCACTGAGCCATCATGCTGTCAAACTTGTGTAAAAACCGTTACATGCAGTTCAGTCATGTAAAACACCACTTTCTGTCACCTATTTAAATTTGGATGTTGTTCCTACAGTAAAGAAACAGAATTCTGATTTTACATTAACTGTGCTGTAGTTTTCTGCAGTTTCCTTTTACTCCATTTGATGTGCAAACAAAATAAAAGACACATGCCCTGAATGAGCTACATATTTAGATGCATTTTCTGTATGTTTTTGCAGGAGGACAGTGAATGGAAACATAAGAAAATTGGAGGAATGAAAAAAAACCCTTTAGTGATTATACAGAAACATCACGGTTCTTTAAAAGCTTATGGGAGCCCAAGATCTCATTTTTGTTTTCCCATGAACACAGACACACTCTTTTCTGTTTTTATATACAACAAAAGTCTAATCACGARTGATGCCATAGGTGTCAATCTGAAACAAGAAGTTGCGACACCGCTGAGAAAAATACCATATTGTTATATATATTCTATCCCACAACTGTAGTGACTTTGAGTTTCAGGAGCAGTACATTTAGCTTGGTATTTAAAATAACATTCTGGAGTAGTGACTGAATAAAACACTTGATTTTAGGAAGTTTTATTGTCAACATGCCTTCCTAAGACTAAAACAAAACAGCTCTAGTCAAAAACATCCATTCATCACGTTATTTTGCAACTCTGATAAGAGGAACTGAAAGAATAAAAAGACAGTTTAAACTTCCTGACCCTTTTCATTTTTTTATTTCTTTTTTTAACTTCCATTCATTGATTTAAAGGCCTAAAAGCCAGCACCACACTGCTTCAGCTCTAACTCAATTGACTGTAATAAGCAGAGATCTCCAGGCTCCTGACCCTCGGTGGTTTGGAGTCTTCTGCCCTGAAGGGGGCATCAGAGCTGGTGAGCAGCTGAGAGAAAAAGTCATCCATTACTCCTAATGCTCTCTTTACTGCCTCGGAAAGCACACAGGTGAGTTTATAAATGGACCGCACTGAATAAAAATGTTCCCTCGGTAGAAACARAAAGTCCTGGCGTGCATTCAGATCTAAACCAGCGGGAAAAAAAGGGGGGGGGGGGTGATTCTATCGTCTGACAGAAACRCAAACGTTGTCAGTTTTGTAAGGCTCACCATATTGAGATTTCCMCTGAAAGTTTTTGTGGCTCAGTAGAGCAAGATAAGCCCGAAATCCTTGCACAGTATATATTTTTTCTCTTCCTTTTATTCACGAAGAGACAGACAGAGGATCGAGTGGCTCTTCTCTCTTCCCAGCCTTTGTAATTCTCTGATAACACAAATGTTGTAATATATTTTTTTAATACCAGGCATCTCTATCAAAGGCAGCACTAACAAGCCTTCGGTGTCATCAGGATAACACTGGAACAATTGCTTGGAGTCATTTCACAAGCGTGCCTGGCACCTAGCATATCTAAAATGAGGAGAAGAACAATAAAAGAGCCATTGAAAAGGATTTGGCTCTTCATATATATCCGCACTAATCTTTAGTTCAGCCCTGAAGAATAATTAGCTGTGGTACAAAAGGGGGGCACTTTATGGCTCCTGTGAGCGGTTGACTTGATTTTATTAGCCTGCCCTGTATTCACCAAAGAGAATGAGTCAGAGCGAATTGTGCAGACTCAAATTTCTGATCGAGAAGTCTGTCGTTATAGGCAGTTATTAAGAATTTGGGTGTGATTTGATGCATTTTATGCAATTTAATGGAAGAGATCATATGACACAATAAAGGCAAAAGGGCTGTCTGAAATATTTCTTCAGCATACTCAGAATACAACCTCACCTATCACTTTAACAGCTGTCGATTATGCCACTTATCAGCATTAAATTAAACATTAAGGAAGCATTTTATTTAAAGACTGCGCTTGAGCAGTTAAAGCTACCACCTAGATAAAATATGATGAAGCCACAGGAAATAAAAGTGATAACACAAGCATATCTTATTTACAAGCCTGTAAATAACCGTTGGGTCTCCTGCATCAAGTTAAGATATAAAAGCAGCCCATTCATCACTCTGATCCTTAAAGCTCACTACATAAAGGGGATATTTGCTGTTTTGCTCACTGAGCATCCAGAAAACAGTCTACTCTCATTTTTTTAAATGAAAATATTAATGACCACATCATTCTTGGGAATTATATTTGTAGGATACTAGAACAAATATTAAGATGGTACTTTTACTACGATCCATGGGGGAAAACAATGATGGGATATTTAGCGTCTCTGAAACATTGAGTAATAAGAGAGTCCATCCAGTGTCTTCCACCTTTCAGTGGTTGAGTCGCACACAGGTCCAGGTCCTGGGGCACCCCCTTTTTTCAGAAAGACTCTTCAGATCCTCCAGAGGGATCCCAAGACACCCCTTGGCCAGGGTGGACACATCCTTCTTCCTGCAAATTGTGGGTCTCCTCCCAGTGAAATGTGGC